TAAACCTATAACAGTTATGAACTTAAATAAACTACATTTGATATGATTTTACATTTTTGTTTCAAATTAAATATGATACCCATATAGGTATTCAAATTGTAGACCGTGAACAATTTTCTATTTATTTGTTGGCCCTTGACATCAAAAAGGTTGGCGACCCCTGTCCTAGGTATCGAGTAACGGTCTAATGGTAGTCTAATCCGTTAGAGTAATAAATTCAACGATATCGTTCAGTACGAGTTTTACTGTCATAACGTGTGTACTTAATTATTTTCTTCAATTTGCATTTAATTATTCGGGACTACGTATTTTCGATATTTTCAAATTTTGTATGAATATCTTACGAGAAACCTTGTAATAAATTGTCAAGCTTTTTACACCCAAAACAACATTTTTATCATATACCTAATTATAACATGTATAGTAAATGCTTAATATGAATCCTTGGAAAATATATGAAGTCTCTACAGCTATTTATTTTTGAATAAAAATACAAATAAACAGTTATGAATTTTGATTTTGTCAAAATGTTTTGTTATTGTTTTTCCCAATTATTTGGAAATAACTGATGGTTTTACCAGAAACTCACCTCGAAGTGGTATATCAGTAGTATATGGGCACGTATAGTACACTTTTTACATTACAAAAAAAACACCTTAAAAAATCTTTAAAAAATGAATAAAAAACATTAAAAAAAGCATAAACAATATAAAAAAACATAAAAAAACACACAAAAAAGCATAAAAAACATCAAAATAACATTGAAAAAACATTAAAAAAACCGACCTTATATTTTCCTGTTAAAAATTACAAAAAATCTAAACAAATCTGTTAAAATTACAAAAAATTTAAACAAATCTGTTAAAATTTATGCATTTTATATCTATATTTAACGCGTGTCCAATTCGGACACGCGTTATTAATATCACAAAATATCATTATTTTTTAAAAATTCTATAAATTTATGTATTTTAACACTTTTACATCCAAATTTCAGTGCTTTTTTATATACAATTTGTATACAATTACATCGATATTTCACATATTTTGTATAAAATATAACACGGTCGAATAATCCGACCATGTTAGAATTTAACGCGTCCTTAAATTACGGACGCGTTATTATTGTCACCAAATCCCATAACTTCCAATAAATTCTCAGTTATAAGTATCAGTAGTAAGCAAGGTACAATAGTGGCAACATAAAATGCACAAAAAATGCATTTTTTTGATATCTAAAATCATGGCCGGTTTTTCCGGCCATGAATAAAATGAAACTTTTCTAATCTAAAATCGTGCACGTTTTTATATTCATTTTTATTTATAAAATTCAATATATTCTTAGTTTATGCATTTTATTTCTATTATTGACACGTGTCCCATTTGGACACGTGTCAATGTTGTCACCAAATCCTATAAATTCCAATAAATTCTCTTTAATTTTATTAATCTTACGTTCCCCTGAAATTAGGGGTACGTCAGGTTTTGTATAAAAATCCATAAATTCTTTAATAAAATCGTGGCCGGAAAAACAGACCACGATTTTTACTATAATATAATATAATATAATATTATAAGTGACTGGTTTCAAACCAGCCACCTCAAATTCATTTACAATAGTACTAATTTTTATATTTATTTTAAATATCTTTAGGGTGTATTTCCATACACCCTGAAATACCATAGTGTATACAATTACATTGATATTAAAATAAATATATAAAAATTTTTTCTTTATAAATAAAAATAAATATAAATATAAGACAATGAATCGTAACAGCAAAATTATTAGTCTTTATGAAAAAATGATATATAATAATAACTCATTATTACAATCTTTAAAATTAGGGGAAGTTTATTTATGTACAAAATGTCAAGATTTTAAGAAAACTGATGAATTTAGTAAAAATCAAAAGTGGTGTAAGACTTGTATGAAAACCAAAGTTAATAATGATTTTAAAATATGCGAATGTGGAAAAAAATTTATTTGAGATGCTATATTGTACATTTAACATCAAACTATCATAAAAAGAGAACGGAAAACATGAATAAAGAGAACATTTAATATAAAATTATAAAAATAATTTTGTTATTAAAAAATAAATTCCATAAATAATATAAAATAAATAAAATAAAATTTTTTCTTTATAAATAAAAATAAATAAAATAAATTGTATACACTAAATTAATAAAAATGCCTCCACAGAATCAAATTATATAAGAAAAAATGAAAGTACCTGAACTTAAGTTAATAGCAAAGCAATATGATATAAAAAATGTTTGTAAAATGAAAAAAGATTGTTTAATAGAAAATATAAAATAGCAAGCTGTATTGAAAATGTTAGATAAAAATCCCTTCTTTAAGTTAGATAAATCATTGTTTACTAAAGACAATTATTTTAATACTTCATTAGAAAGAAGACCAAAAGTTTATGATTTGATAGACGTAATTCAATTGAATCCACAAGTCCAAAATAAATTTAGGATACATAAAGCTGATTATAAAATTAGTTTTAAACAAGCATTATTACAAGATCTAAAACAATATAATTCAGAATACAAAATTAATTATATAGATAAAGCTTTAAATGAAATGGTAAAACTTGCTAAAAGCAATTCAACATATAAAAAAGATGATAGAATAAGTATTGCATTATTTAATCCAAATATAAAAACTCCCATATATACTGGAATGAGATCTGACGATATCATAGTAAACTTAAAATCTATAGTAAATGGTTTATTAACTTCAAATGAAGAAATTGATATTACAGAAACTACTTTTCAAGTTCAAATAGTAAACATACCCAGATGTCCAAATGGAAATAAAATAATAAATTTATCAGAAGATATCCATACTAAAAGAAGTATTATTAAGATTAATAATGATGATAATTTATGTTGTCCGAGAGCTATTGTTGTTGCATTATCTACTCAAACAAATAATATTTTAGATCATGAATTAGATTCTAATAAAATTAAACAATTGAAGATAGGTAGAAAAATTCAAAAAGATTTAGCTTTAAAATTATGTAATATGTTACCAGAATATAACGAAGAAGGATTTACATTGGATGATATTCAAAATGTGGAAAAAATACTAGATATACAAATAAATATTATTTTTGCTGAAAGTTTAAATGCTTTAATTTATAAAGGTGATGATAAAGAAACTAAAATTTATTTATATAAAAATGGTAATCATTTTGATGTTATTACATCAATGGCAGGTTTTTATGGTTCTTCTTATTATTGTGAAAAGTGTAGTAAAACATATAAAAATAAAAATGAACATAAATGTGTTAAAGATAAAAATGTATGTAAATTGTGTCAGAGACCTGAACATTCAAGTAGTACAAAAAATAAAATATATTGCCAAAAATGTAACAGATATTGTTATAATCAAGAATGTTTAGATGATCATTTTTTTGTATGTATGTATGTACGTAAATGTATTGATTGTAATAAAATATGTAAAAGATTTACTAAACTGGATGATATACATAAATGTGGATATAGAGAATGTAGAAATTGCCAAGAAGAAGTGAAAATAAATGAACATAAATGTTATAATATTTATATTATTTTCTGGAGTTTTGTTTTATATTTTTAATTTTAATCATTTATTAATAATACCTTTAGGATTAAAATATTTATTATTAATTTTATCTTTATTATTTTTATTAAATTTAATAATATTTATTAAACAATATATTTTATTATTAGTTTTTTTTTATTTTTTGTATTAGTGAAAGCGTATTAGGTTTAACAATTTTGGTTTTAATAGTTTGTATATATGATAATGATTATTTAAAATCATTAATAGTTTTACAATGTTAATAATTTTAATATTAATTATTTTTGGTATAATTTTTTTTAGCTTGAAGATTAAAAGATGATGATTAGCCCAGAATTTTTTTTTTTTTTTTTTATATATATTTTAAGATTCCAATATTCAATTATTTTTTAAATATTAGATATTTATTTGGTATAGATATATTTTCTTATTTAATATTTATATTAGGTATTTGAATTATTAGATTAGTTTATATATTTCTAGACTTAAGGGGATTCGATGCAGCGTATTTATTTCATGATTTAGACCTAAAAGCCTGACAAAAATACGCCTACTTAGAATTATCAGATTTCAATTCAGTAAAAAGATTCAAGTTCATTATTTTCCTAGGTTATTGTGGGAATCAATTTTCGATATTTTTTTTAGAATTCACGTTAAATCATATTTCGATTTCTCAATTTTTTGAAAATTGTTTGTGTCTTTCTTTAAAAAGTTAAACAGTTATTCAAAAATCGACTCCCACAATAACCTAGAAAAAAGAACGATGAATTCAAATATGTTTACAGAACTAAAATCCGATCTTTCTAAGTTATCGTATTTTTGTCAGGCTTTTAGGTCTCAATTGATTGAAATTAGTTTCTCGTTGGAACAAATATTTTATTATGTGACATGTGCAAGCGGGTGCGAAACACTGATTCCGAAACACTATTGATCATTTACTTCGCACACAAACACACTGAGAAACGACTTTAATACATCGAATTGCCTATACACGACCCCTTATTAAATCACCGCATCGAATCCCCTTAATTTTAAAAATAATTATTTAAATTATTTTAATTTGTTAATATTTATTTTTGTTATTATTTTTTATTTTTGTTTTTTTAGAAATAATTTTCTTTTGTTTTATATTTTTTATGAAATTAATTTGATTCCTGTAATTATTTTAATTTATGGTTGAGGTTATCAATATGAGCGTTTTAAAGCTGGATTTTATTTATTTATTTATATAATTTTTTTTTCTTTACCTTTTTTTTTCATGTTTATTAAGTTTAAATAATCCTAATTTTATATTTATATAATATTTTGATTATTTAAATAAGTTTAATTTTAATTTTAATTTATTTTTATTAATAATTTTTTTAGTTAAAATACCTTTATTTATATTTCATATTTGATTACCAAAAGCTCATGTAGAAGCCCCTATTTGTGGGTCAATAATTTTGGCTGGTATTATATTAAAATTAGGTGGTTTTGGTATTTATCATGTTTTAATATTATTTTTTAAGATTAATCTTAAATTTAATTATTTATTAATTTCTTTATGTTTATTGGGGATAATAATTTTAAGATTAGTTTGTTTTTTTCAAAGTGATTTATAGATTTTAATATCATATTCTTCTGTTGTTCATATAGGTTTAGTTATTATTGTTTTTTTAAAGGATGTAAGTACTGTTTATTTAAATCATTATGCAACAAACCTTTGATTTAATTTCTTAACATTTAATCTTAAGAGGATGTTAGCACACTATTTGTTTTCTCTCTCTGACTCATGCGCATAAAATTATATAAATTATTTTAAGTGCGACTACATTTTCAAAATCTTATAGCCGCTTGGGTACAACCCTTGAGATTATAAAAAACAGATCTCAAAACTTCAGGAACCTACAAGAGGACGGTGCCCCGCCAGTACACGCGTGGCACCCGACACCACGGACGGCCGGACTTGGACATTTTTTTAAAAATACCTACAATCATTTTGCGTCGGTCTAAGTAGTACGAAAGTCTCCGTATTGAACTGCGGATTTCGAATATGTAATCAGATAGCGTCGACTCCTCTCGGAAAATTGTCAGGAACCTACAAGAGGACGGTGCCCCGCCAGTACATCGCGCGGCACCCGAAACCGCGGACGGCCGGACTTGGACATTTTTTTAAAAATACCTACAATCATTTTGCGTCGGTCTAAGTAAGATGAAAATCTTTGTATTGAACTGGAGATTCCGAATATGTAATCAGATTAATAATACACAATATGGAAGACAATCAAAGAAAGGAGGAAAAAATGGATCGGACATATTATGAGAAATAATGAATGGATAACGACAATAATAGAAGGAAAAGCTGGAAGAGGTAGACCAAGGGCAAGAACACCATTTATGAAACAGATCATAGATGATATAGGGAAAACCAACTATATAAGGAACTAAAAGTAGCTGTAATGGATCAGGGGCGGATCTGAAGCTTGGTTAAAGGGGGGGCGAATTTTGAATAGGAATATCCATGAGTAATATACAAGTACGATGAGTATGGTCAAACCTGGTGGGTGGAGGGGGTCACCACCCCCAGAAATCCGTATATCAATCCGGATCAAATTGTATAATCCGTATACTATAAAATTATCAGTATACATTTTTTCAACCCCTCCCCCCACCAAGAAAAAGCATTTCCTGCTGTTGCCCCGGCAATGAAGACTTGACTGTAGTTCAAGTAATTTATGGAAAAAGAAGTACAACACTTAAAATTAATTGTAGGTACCTTTATTTGTTTTAAACAGCTATAACAATATATTGTTCAAAAATAGGTATAATTATAATAATAATTGTACGTTTCTTTTTTTTTTCATTTGCAAATCTATTAATTACTTCTTCTATGTTTACAATAATAACTTTATGCGTGTGCAATAAAGCCAAGCCAGTCAGCCTATGTTCGCTCATTCGCGATCTCAACCATGTTTTTAATCTACAAATTAAAAACAATAAGAAATAAGCAAACATGCAAAGCATTTCGGAATTTAGATGCAGATATTTTCATCTTAAATTAAAAAGCAAAATTTTATTTTTATCATTAGTTATCTGACCTGCGCAAAGTGGAAAAACTGCGTTCAGCGGAAGCAGTACTAATTGGCAAACTAGCAAGTATAGAAATCAAGGATTTAATTGTTGGGAAGATTATCTTACAACATGCATCCAAAGTATCAAAAACATTTTTTGGTAATATATCACCTAAAGCGGAATGAAAATTGTAATTCTGAAATAGTCTTCACAATTATTTATGTTATTCGGATTTGATCTATTTTTTTGATGAGCTGACACCCTAGGCATTTTCAAATGAATGTCCAATTCATCCATCAACATTTTGCATTCATTATAAATAAATAATCACACTATCACAGATAATTTCTATGTATAAATCATAGATATATTATATTATTAATAATATAAATCTATGGTATAAATACTATAAATAAATATGTCATTGTCTGATAAAGTTGTTATCATTGTTATCATGAAACATAAAGAGAAAAAAAAAAAATAATTAATAATTATTAATTCATAAAAATGTATTGTGTAATGTGTAAATCTATAAATCGAAAATATTAAATAAATCTGTAATAAAAAAAAAGCCCAAGGGGGGGGTGATCGCCACGTCGCCCCCCCCATAGATCCGCCACTGATAGGGATAAGTGGAGAGCCATCAGTCATTTAATCAATCTAAGGATTGAAAAAAAAATAATAATAATAACACACTGTAGTGGTTTGTCGACGACAAGTACAAGTCCAGGGCCGTCCCGAAAGACAAATCATGGGGGGGTGGTTTGATTCATAATTTGCCAACTAAAAAAAAAAATTTTATTGTACAACGATTAGAAATAATAATTTTGTTTTAAGCAGTTTATTTAAATTATTTTTCCAAACGTACATGTGTAAACTCCCGTTAACTTGGGGAGATAGCGTCTTAAGGCGGGTTCACACTTACACCGTGTCGTGTCGCGTCGTGTTGTATCTAGTTTTTATGATCGTGTGATTACATTTCTCACGATCGTCATCGTTTCGTGGGTTTTATACCAAAATGCAATACCAACGATACCAAAATTATTATCAATTCCAGTGATAACATTTTAAATTTAAAAATAAATTCAAAATAATCATCACATCAATATTATACATATTATTATAACATATTGAATATTCATATTAGTTTTCAATTTCACTATTCAAGTACTCATATCACGTTAAGTTTTAGTCACGGTTATTATATATATATTATTTAGAAGTCTACGTATATTCTTAACTTCAGTTTCAGTGCCATGATGACGTCGCTGGTACTTAAACGAAAATTGTACAACTATAATGTTCATGAATATAATAAAGAAATGCACAAAAGAAAAGTTTGCATTATTTCATTATTTATGAATATTGTTGAAGACAATTTATATGAAATAGATAAAAAGTAATTAGAAATTTTAGAATTAGAAATTTTTAGGTGTACTTAAGAATTTGAATTTGAATAAATTTATTATAAAAAGAAAATGGGGTGATCATTCTAAAAATACCCTGCATACAATGTACTCACCATAATTTTTTTGTAGATGGTATGTCAGGCCTTTGCTACGAGAACGTATTGATCATAGTCATTTTAACACTATGATTAATGAACATAGGCTATCAAATTCAGACCTATTTTTTAACTTTACCAGAATGTCACCAACTACATTTGAAGAACTGGTTATTTTATTGGGCCCATATCTACAAAGAATTCACTCAAGACCTGATATTCTATCAGTTGGAGAAATTTTAGCAGCTACGTTAAGGTTAGTTTTTTACAATATTTATGTAAAAATCTGATATCAAATAATTCATTAAATAGATATTTAGCTGCTGGTGAAAGCATGACTGACATAATGTTTAATTTTCGAATTGGCAAATCCACGGTTTCAAAAATAATTTTAGAATGCTGCAATTGTTTGTGGGATGTATTATACAAAGATGTAAGCTTTGATTATAGTAATATTATAAATAAACATAGGCAAGTACCTTAATAAATTTTGTACTAAACTATTTATATTTTTAGGCATTATTTACACCCACTGAAGAAGGATGGAAAAAATTGTCCAAAGAGTTTTTTGATAAATGGCAAATGCCCAATTGTGTAGGAGCTTTAGATGGAAAACATGTTGTACATCAAGTATGCATATTTTTATTTTAAGAAAATTAGAGGGGTATACTCTTTCCAGTTCTTTAAAACATTTATGCTGCTGATCAGCCTTACCACTCCAAACACTTTAATTTCTGAATATGCTGATGAAAAGGCGGCAATAATATCCATCAATTCTAATCCGATAATAGGATAAACTGGTGTCACAACCTGCTAGATGCTAGAGCATATAAACCCTCCTAAGTTCCTAACTAAATACTCAAAATAGGTAGTGACATCACTGGTTGGCTTCTTCCATTATACTAATCGTGTTTTATATTCTTTTATCAAATTTCCTTATTGTTCTCTTGAAAAGATTATAATATCTTGTAAAAAAGAAAGAAAACTAGAGTATAAAAAGCCAATAGATCTTTTGCTTCACTTTGAATTTAATTTTTAATTAAAATTAAATACACTATACCTATGTTCGGTAAAATAATATCATTATTGTTTAATTTTTACAGGCATTTCAAAATAGTGGTTCCATCAACTACAATTATAAAGGCACACATAGTACCATTCTTTTGGCACTATGTGATGCCAATTATAATTTTACGTGTGTTGATATTGGAATGCCAGGCAGGTGTAGTGATGGGGGAGTTTTGAGGGCGTCTGAAATGGGTAGAAGGATACTACAGAATGATTTTAATTTTCCTGAAGCTTCACCTATAAGTGAACATTTTAAAGACTGCCCTTATTTCATTGTGGCAGATGAAGCTTTTCCACTCTTACCAAATGTAATGAGACCATATCCCGGACGAGGAAATAAAAATCTACCTTTGAAATCTACCATTTTCAACTATAGGTAATTTATTTAGTAAAAATTAAATAATAATTACTAGAGGTTGACTGAATACAAAATGTCTATTGACAAAATATAATAGGAATAATTTAAACCATTTTTTTTGATATTTTCAGATTGAGCCGAGCAAGAAGATGCATAGAAAATTGCTTTGGAATATTGGTATCAAGGTGGCGTATATACAGAAGAGTGATTATTGCTTCTGAGCCAACTGTGATGAGTATCATCAAAGCAACTGTAGTAAGGAGAAAATACGCGGGGGACAAATTAGTTGTATAAGGGAGAATATGCGGTAGGGGAAGGTAATGGTTATAGGGGAGAGATATGTGTGTTATAATAAATATTGGAGATTTCCGCTTATGATCTCCCTACTACTGTGTTGTACCTAACTTCCTAATGATATTTGAATTACATACTTTTATTATATAAACATTTAAACACTTACCTCACTGTAGCTGGTTTTCTTTTAAGTGGTTTGTAGTTCTTCGGGGTCGTGTTCGACAGTCGATATCACGATGACAATATATGTATATTATTTTATGTGATCTGTAGGATTTCGTATACAATTTCTACCTGTGACCGTCACCATATATATTCTCAAAATCCTTACATTCGTAACAGGAGTACGTATTCTCTCTCCACTAACCGAATGTAACTTAAAGTGTTGAATATTTGTTATTGCACATTTATATCTTGAACACAGCTCATAGAATTCCTACATTCGTGACAGCTAGTACGTATAGTCCAACCGCCGACCGAATGTAATTTAAGTTAATAGAGCACTTACTTCTATACTTATATCCTAATATAGCTCTTATAATTCCTACATTCATGACAGCTAGTACATATATAGTCCAACCGCCGACCGAATGTAATTTAAGTTAATAGAGCACTTACTTCTATATTTGTATTCTAAATACAGCTCTTATAATTCATACATTCGTGACAGCTAGTACGTATAGTCCAACCGCCGACCGAATGTAATTTAAGTTAATAGAGCACTTACTTCTATACTTATATTCTAATATAGCTCTTAGAATCCCTACATTCGTGACAGCTAGTACGTATAGTCCAACCGCCGACCGAATGTAATTTAAGTTAAGAGAGCACTTATTAGTTATTACTATACTCGTGTTCTAAAACATAAATGTGTAGTAACGATGTGACAGACCTATAATATGATGACTGTCACAGAACCTTATGTTTTGAAAGACCAATGGATAGGTTAGTGTAAAAAGATGAACAATTTTAATTTAACTGATAAAGAGACAACCAATTTAGACAGACATACCGGGTGAAGGAATGGTTCAATATACATATATTGTATACGCATAAACGCACAGTGATGGCTTGGACAGCAGTGGAAAAAGATCGTGATGTTGACTGGCGTGGACCTTGTGCATCTCCGGAATAGACACTGGCGACGAGTCGATGCTCTGTGGCCCTTATATAATGTGATTTTGGTTGATCCCTTCTTCTTGTACATCGATTAAAGTATTGATATATTTTTAATATTTCGTGTGGTGCGACAACGGTACAGCTGGTAATTTATAGTTTTGTTTTGACCGAACGTCTTGATTGGAGAACTATCGAAGGGGACTTGAAGTATATAATATATATATATGTGTACGTACACGTGTGATGTACGTATATGTATATGAAAGAATGCTTTCATGATTTTATAATATACGGTGTTTACTGGCGCCGTTGATATTTGATTGTGTTGTCTCCACTAAATATCTGGTCGGAGAGGTGTAGAATATTATTTATGTGTTGCAGGTGCTGCGTGTATGTAAAAGAAGTGCGTATATTGTAGGTATATATGTACCTAATGCGTACGTATATACATATGCATATCGGACCACCCACACCCCATAATATGGTCCGTCTTCATTATTTGTCTCGTGTTTTATTCTAAGTCTAAATATTATATATTACACAACAGTGGTTCTTCATAATTTAATTTTAAAAAAAGAAACTGAGTCAGGTAATACAATATTTTCGATTGTCTAATGTATACCAAAATTGTATACACGGTTACCCTTTACATGCGCTTTATTTCTTATTATTATGAAAATCATTTTTTTTTTATAGGTTTATACGCATATTACTCCCCTACATGTTTTGGCGAAACTGAAAAAATTGCAAACCGAAATTCTGCCGGTTTAGTTCCTGTGGGTCAAATGGGAACAAATTTTTACGACCGAAATTCAAAAGAAATTAGGTCAAAATTAACAGATTACTTTGCCGCAGAAGGTAGTGTTCCATTTCAGTATGACAATATATAATTCAATTTTGTTAAAAGTAATAACTATTGATCACAAATATATATATTTCATTAGAATAATAAAAAAAACAATGCTTACTTATTAACATAACATTAATAAAATTAAATAATAAAATAAAAAAGTTTCCTTTTCACAGAACTTAAGAAAAATAAAAAATAAAAATTGTGAATATCAAACAATTAGTCATTGATTTGTTCAATGACAATAGCAATTAATTGTCCTTGAAGAATTCTTTTTTTCTTTTTCGGTAAGTCTGACATCAAGCTTGCCAAATAAGCAGTGGTTGAATTGGGGGGGGACGCGGGGGGACGGAGTCCCACTTCTATTTTAAAAATATTTTAGCGTACCCCTTCTAATTTCTTTTAATGGGGCGCTGGGGACGGGAATCATTTTAAAAATTGTACTAAATTAATGGAAATATTTTTATTTTAGATTCTGAATGAAACGATGAATGTATTAATTTTACAATGATGTGTGTTTTTATTTTTTTTTTTTGTGTCTGTACACATGATAAGTAGTCAAAATAATGCTTCGATTTTCAACTTCAGTATCTTGTTCGATTGGAAAGTGAATATCGTTGGTGCATTGGGGAGGTTAAACAAAACGTTGGAAGCGCTGGGAAAAACAAAAGAAAAATTAAGGAAAAACGGGAATTTTTACACAAAATCTGTTTTCGAGAAAATCGATTTTGGTTTTTGGTGTAACTTTAAAACAAATGACCGTAGATACATGAAATTTTCAGTGGTTGTTTATATTTGCATTTTCTATACACGATAACATTTTCAAAATATTTTGATTTATTTTGAACTGTTTAGGGACATTTTCAGTTTCCAATTTTATTAGTTTTTTTTTTTTATGAATATCGATAAAAATTTATTTGTTGAGTAAAAATACTTGAAAATTTAATACAAGGCTCCTAATATATTGTTACAATGGCAGTTGAAAAATATTAAAAATCGTTAGTCACAGTTTTTTTTTTTAAGCATTTAAAGTTCAAAAAATGACAAAATATGGAAAAATCACAACAATTTGCAAATTATTTCGAGTTAGAAATTCATAAAAATTTTTCTTTTTAAATCTTAGATATGAAAATGTAATACAAGATTCCTTATAAGATTTCCTACATTTATCAAAAAAAAAAATTCTATAAGAAAGTCAAATTAAATTTTTATGAGCGTTTGAAATTCAAATTTTTACAACATTGGATATTCACTCGATTTCTCATGTGGCAATGTCCTTATTTTGTTGTAATTCAAAAACGAATTACTGTAGATACATGAAAATTTCACTGAATGTTTATATTAGCATTTCCTATACACCATACAATTTTGAAAATATTTTGACTCTTTTTGAGCCGTTTACGGACCTTTTTAGTTTTCAATTTTTTTAGTTTTTTTTTTCTATAAATATCAATAAAGTTTTATCTGTTGGGCCAAAAAGTGTAAAAAATTAATACAATGCTCCTGATATATTGTTACAATAGCAATTGAAAAATATTAAAAATACATAGGCACAATTTTTTTCTATAAGCATTTAAAGATCGCATTTTGACTAAATTTATCAAAATCTCGAAAATTATCAATCATCGTAATTAATAAATTATAAAATGTTCAGTTTTTATAGCTAAGGATTGAAAATTTAAAACAAGATTCCACGTAAGTAGTTAATTCTGTTACCAAAAAATCTAAAAAATACACAAGCACAGTTTATTTTTATGGTCATTTTAAGTTCAAATTTGGGACGAAATTACATATTAAAAAACCTAGCATACCTATTTTAGTTATTTTGTTGTGAGTGTATAATACTATTCGTGGGTACTTGAAACTTCTTAAGTACACTATATTATATATCTATGATAGTATCAGGGTTAGGTTAGGTTTATTGGTGTATGGTGTAAAATGTCATTGTAGCGGGAGGGGGACATATGCTACCACTTAACAGTAAGACATTTAAATGTTCGGGGACGCACATATCTTTTATACTTTTGCATCCCCCTTCTATTTTTTTTCCAATTCAAGCACTGCAAATAAGAACTGAACTTGATGTCATCATTGGACTCGGGCTCAATTAATACATTCTCCAATGGGCGAATAGGTCTACTCTGCTTGAGTTCTTCTATAATCATTCCCATTTGACTTTCCATAACAGACCCTGTTGAAAATAAACATACATTTTGTAGTGATTAAAAATAAATATTGTAGTGTATAGAAATACATATTTGAAAAATATTTCATTAATTGATCAGAGTTTCAGGGATGAAGTACTGAAAAATATAAAAATACATACTTTTTACAGACTTCCTGTCTTGTTTTTGATTTGAATCATTTTCAAGGCTGGTGTGTGTAGGTGTAAGGTTGTCAACCGTGCTATTCAACAATTTGTGCATAATACAATAAGAATACATGTTTACATTTCTAACGCCCATTTGCATAGTCATTGTATGTTTCATATAAGACATGTTAAACTATGTGTATTTTTTTTATTTATTTATTTTTACATTTTATGTCACACATAAATTGACTATGCAAATGGACACAAGTAATGAAATATTTTTACCATTTATCAACTATCAATACTTCATCTAAAAATCTTAAAATGCTCAAATAACACCATTCTTGTTTACCTCCTGCTGCACCACTTACTCCAGATTTTTTTTCCCTAGTATATCTTTCCTTAAGATATTTCCAGCTCTTTTTTAATCCCTGAATAGAATATTTGCCTACCTATCAAGAAAATGTATCATGAATAATTAATAATAGCATATGATTTAAGAAATTTATATACCATCAAATTCAGTAAATATTTTATTCCATAAATTATTCTTTATATTTTCGGATCTTTCTCCCAACGACATTTTGTGATTCCAAAGTGGTCTGCAAACTTCTATTGATGTTATTAAACCAGTCATGTCTTCTTTGGAAACTCCTACAATTTTTTTATCAGTATTGGAAGTTGATTGCACTTTACGAATATCTATATATATAATAAAAAAAACAATAATTATCTATAAAGAAAATGAGTTGCATATAAATTTGAAAACACCTTTTGGTGGTGATTCTTCATCATGTAACTCCTCATCATGATCTGATAATGAATGAAACCAAGAAGACAAAGTCATAGGAGTTGAATCTGGAAGAATATCTTTAACAGAACTAGTTGAGGCACCTGGAAGAATTTTCTTAACAGAACTAGTTGAGGCACCTGGAAGAACTTTCTTAACAGTACTAGTACTTGCAGCTGGAAGAATATTCTGAATTGTACCAGTGTTTTCAGGCTTTTGTAATAACTGGGTATATTCTGTAAATATTAAATGTACAGTAAAGCCAGTTATCAATAAACTTATGAAATTATTGTTTATATACTTTGAGGGCAGACATGCTTCTTTACAGATTCTACTACAAAAGCATTACAGCCATGACAGAATTTACCCTAAAAGCAATAAAGCATTAAAATCATTAGTTAATATGATGTAGGTACTGGATATAATCACTGTTATATATTACTTATATTATACATGTTTGGTTAGTGTCAGGGTTTTTTTAGTGTGTAGTGAGACACATTTTGTGCAGTGAGAAAAGTAAATGTGCAGTGAAAATTGTTACTTTGTGCAGTGCAAAAAAAGAATTTCAGGAAGATATATTTTAAAACAATAATTGAGTTAACTTCAAAATAAAAAAAAAACTGTTTCTATTAAAATTTAAAATTGTTTATATGATTTATTATTTACCTACTATTTTTTTTTTTAAAACAAATAAAAAATATCTACCCCCTTTAAGTACATTTTATATTGGTGGTAGAGTGATACATACATAATATGAACAATTTAATTATAAATAAGAAAAGCGGACAAAAACTGAATAATCAATCTATACAATTAGAATACTAATTATAACTAATATTAAATTAGAACAGTTAAATATAATTCCTTATTAGTTATTCAAGTATTGAAAATAACCAAATATGAATTTTTTTTTTCATTTCTATAACAGTTATACGATTCCCTTCTGTATAGAATACGTCCCTTTTTATATTTACTGGCATTAATTTGTAGTTTTTTGGACCTAGATAATCTATGCATATTTGACCAAACACTTTTCTAGAATAGTCCATTTTAACATCAAAAGCCCTATTTTCTCTTTTAATTATTAATTTTTTTATATCCAGAAAAGATTCAAAATTTTTAATTATATATACAATAGTTATTTTTTTATATACAGACTCAAATTAATAACTTAAAGTTTTATTTAGTTAAACCAATTAAAGTATTTTTACTTAAACATATCTTAAGAATTTTTCTTTGTATAATAGTTGTAGTGGCGTAGACTAATAAGACTATAAAGGCATTATAGGTACCTAGTCAACTGGTTGTTTTAATTTTTAATTTTTATAAACAATTATTATTACAAATTACCTATTTCAACTTTCAAGTATATATTACTCAGAAAGTATTATAACTAATGGTGGCACCCCACAACTTATATTTACAAACAAAATTTTAAAATTATTATTTACAAATTTACAATAAAAATGGTGCATTAATATAAAATGATTTAATTGGTATATCATAGGAGGCGGGATTTATATGTTTTTACATATCGTTTTTGAGTACCTATATGCAGTCTTATGAAAGTAAAAAATGTAGATAGTAGGTTAGTAAGTACTAGGTAGTATAGCCGGCACAGTTCACAGGGGCAGCTACAGAGACATGATTAGGGGGTGACCAAGTCATAATTTTCCGAAAATGTCAATGATTTTTTTTAACAGTATACAATTGTTTAGAAATACAGCTTTGTGGGGGGGGGGGGCTGACAGTTCATCGGATAACAGTCCGTAGGGTTTGGTCTGCGTAGACAAATTCCCTAATATAACCCAAGAGTGGGAATAAGTTTGTGCAATCAGTAAAAATCATTTTAAAAAACCCCGATTAGTGTTTAAATAAAATTCAAAAAAATTACCAATTATAATAGTATAATACATATTTTTTTTTAATTTAAAATATTAAAAGTTTACTTGTTACAATTATTATTAATTTAAATTACAAAGTTAAGTATTTTTATGAATTTAGCTCTATAAGCAAAGCTTGTGGTAAGGTAAATGAGTTATAAGTTATAACATGTAATTTGTACTTAAAAACTAGTTATACTACAATATTACATGAATTGTGCGCATAGGGTTCATTAGCAATATTTTATTTAGTTTGTAAATGCATCAATACTTAATACTAGATACTAGGTGTGCTAATAGGTAATATCCAAAGAATTTTTTTTAGTTTTTTTGCTAATGATACCTAAGTATTTTCGGTAAATTTGTGTCCAGCAATTAACAAAGCCATCTCCTTAACCCCCTCTGATTTATGGTGTAAATATAACAAATCAAATGATTAAGTTCTTACTGAATGAGTGCATAAAAATAACTTAAAAATTAAATGTATATTTATAAATATACCTTATGAAATTATAATAAATATAAATGTAGATACAATATTCATAATAGTTTAGTGTACTTACTTTGATAAACGACATGCTATTCATGCTAATAATTTCAAAATTGAAAAAAATGTTCAAGTTCAACGTTCAAGTGTTCAACTGAATTTTCAATTAAATTTTAATTTTAGGTTATTTTAAATTTTATCATTATTTTTTTAGTTATCATTTTTCTGCGCTTTATCTGTAACCACACGGCCAAAAGTAGGGCACTATAGATACAGGCCACGGACTAAGATATACAGGACTGGACACGACAAGGTTGGAGGGTGTGGGGGGGTTGACTACGAAATGTTTTACAACAGGCAGTGTTCGGGGGGATATTTTCCTTTTAGCATTACTAGCGCCGTCCTAGTGGATACTTATGGAACTAGAACACATCATACAAATTTCTAGTTCCATAAGTATCCACTAAGACGGCGCTAGTAATGCTAAAAGGAAAATATCCCCCCGAACTCCGCCTGTTGTAAAACCAAAGAACAATATAGAAGCGACACTCGATCAGCTGATGGGTGAAGTGTTTACCTATGATCTGAAGCACGGACTAAGATATACAGGACTGGACACGAGATGAATATTGTGGTTACGAAATGTTTTACAACAGGCGGAGTTCGGGGGGATATTTTCCTTTTAGCATTACTAGCGCCGTCTTAGTGGATACTTATGGAACTAGAAATTTGTATGATGTGTTCTAGTTCCATAAGTATCCACTAGGACGGCGCTAGTAATGCTAAAAGGAAAATATCCCCCCGAACACTGCCTGTTGTAAAACATTTCGTAGTCAACCCCCCCACACCCTCCAACCTTGTCGTGTCCAGTCCAGTATATCTTAGTCCGTGATTTGAAGTCCGAACATTCAAACTGTTTCCGTTTACCAACATGATGTTATACCCGTATTGAAAAACCGTTTCCGCTTAATAGGCAGGGTATTCTGCGCGGGGTCGGGTTGTTTCCAGCATAGAAAAATTGTTTCCACTGTTTACTGTAACGTATGCCACGCCCCTCTAGAGACCATTTTCAAGGCCACAATCGCCCGATCCGACCAATTCACGGAGTGTCGTACCCCTGGTAAAACATTTCGTAACCACAATATTCATCTCGTGTCCAGTCCGTGGATACAGGTATGCTACGCCGCCATTTTGCGACTAATAATCTTATGTGAATATGAATTTCTCCCCCTTTATTTTATCATTTTATCATTGATAAAAGAGTCGCAAAATGGTGGCATAGCATACCCATGGTATGTAGAGTCTAAAGGCGGGTTCACACTACACCGTGTCGTGTAATATAATCACGGTTACCTCAGTTACCAAACGATATCGCATAGTTGAATATATTCAACTTTTGACCGTGTGGTTACATTAAGTATGAACCCGGCTTTATCTGCACATAAATGTAACCACACGGTCAAAAGTTGAATATATTCAACTATGCGGTATCGTTTGGTAACTGTGGTAACCGTGATTATTTTACACGACACGGTGTAGTGTGAACCCCCCTTTACCAAAAGTTGAATATAATATTCAACTATGCGGTATCGTTTGGTTACGGTGGTATCGTGTGATAAAATAATGATATACCATATGGTAAACCGCAATTGAACCACGCGGTTCAGCCAATCAGAGAACATTTTTCACACGACAAGACACGACACGACACGGTGTAAAGGCGGGTTTCCACTATACACGGATGAGAGTACGTGCATACAAATCATTTGCTGGGGTGCGTTCAGAAACGTTATCCACTATCGTCAGTCAATTCCCACCGTCGTTCAGAAAGTATTTAGGGCGTATCGGTGAATTCACCGACACGCCCCTTTTGCGTTCAAAAACGTAGATAACTAACTAGATAGTCAATCTCCTCGGACAACAAAATTGGTTATAACGGTTACTGGTTAGTGGTTAGTACCAATATTTTTTTCGCGCCATAATAATGACAATGTATAAAATATGAAATAACCATAAAATTAAAAATATAATATAATTATTATTTATTAATTAACGAACAAAGAACAAGAGTGAAAAAGTGCAAGAACGCGACAAGTGACAAATGTCAATTTGTGACTAGTTTTTGTTGTCTCGTGTAATACGTGTTGATGGTCCATCATTCATGACAAACCAATCTATTTGTAATTTAAGAATTTAAACTACATATTCATTTAAATAATGTTTCCTCAAGTCACAGTTGTAAGTGTGTAAAAAAATATAACTAATTTTGATATATCTAACTAGTAAGAACTTTTAATTTTGTTTTTATTCCAGGAAAAATGTCCCATTTGCAATAGTTACGTTATATTAACAAAAATGTCTGAACATCTCAAAAATCATAGGTAAGTTAAAAAGAAAAGATACTAAGTAATTGTCTTGTAATATGTTAGCACTTAGCATATTTCTATCTTAACAAATCTATTAAATAATGAATATTAATTTAATAGACACTATTGTGTCCATATGCATATAGTCAATGTATTTGTCACACAAGACGTAGTTTACCATATTTTATGTAACACATACTTGACTATGCATGCGAGCATTACTACTATAATTAATTTTTGTTTCATAAACATTAATGCCCCTTTCTTTTAATTAATATTTAGTGCTGGCTATGCTAATTCTTATTTAAACTTTCAAGTAACGATCAAATATTTTGACTGTTGTCTGACATGACACACCATATTAAAACTAAAAGACTGCAACTAAATACTAGGCTACGCATGCTTAAAACATTCCAATTAACAACAAACACACCAACTTAAACATTAAACTTCTCATGTACAAATCCTTACTAAAACTTAAATGAACCCATGGTCTTCAACTGCGGGTCAATGCCAAAATATCCAATCTTAAAACAATATAGCTGTTTCAAAATATTACTCTAAGAAAAATTACTAACTCTCCTCGATACATATTAAATTACACACTTCACACCGATCCATACCAAAAAACTGTCCAAGAAGAAGCTAAATTCTTCTACAAACGTTTTCACGATCCTCTTATTGGTCATACAAATCCATTAATCCATAACTTATCACCAAATAAAATTCCTGGTAAGTGGTAATCCTCGACGTCGCCTTAAAAAGAAATTGTGCAGAAACCTCTTAATAAATTAAAAGGATTAGTCTAATAATCTAATAAAAATCTACAGTAAGTGACACTACTGGGTGGCTTCTTTTAACAAGCGTATCAATACCACTGTAAATTAGCACATATTCTTATTGTGCCCTCCGGGTATAGACTGTATATTTCTTTTAAAAATTAAATTTAAAAAAAACTTTCAAGTTAACTAATAATTTAAGCCTTGTTATTTTTACTTTCTAGTTATTATTCGCTTTAATAGTATAATTAATATAACTCATATAATTATACTCATTAATTCATATTTCATATATTATACTTTCTTTCTTTTATAGTCAAGACCATGAACTAGCAGTGCCTCAAAAGTTAAAAAAGTATAAACCAAACCCATTGTTTGATAGTTTGTCTGATGAAACAAGGTAAATAAGTTGATAGTTGATATTATTATTCAATTTTTATAAACATATTGAATACTTTCATATTGTTTAAGCTATGATATACCTAATGAGCTAAGAGTACTTGTGAATTTGATTCAATTTATACTTTCTATTTTCTTGGCACTTCACTCTTTAATAAATACATTTTGTTTGTAGTCAAGATTATGAACTTGTGCCTCGGCCACAACAGTTAAAAAAGTATAAGCCAAACCCATTGTTTGATAGTTTGTCTGATGAAACAAGGTAAATAAGTTGATAGTTGATATTATTATTCAATTTTTATAAACATATTGAATACTTTCATATTGTTTAAGCTATGATGCCTAATGAGCTAAGAAAACTTGTGAATTCGATTGAATTTATACTTTCTATTTTCTTGGCACTTTGATCTTTAATAAATACATTTTTTTGTGTAGTCAAGACCATGAACTAGCAGTGCCTCAAAAGTTAAAAAAGTATAAACCAACAACGTCATTTGGTAATTTATCTACTGAAACAAGGTAAATAAGTTCATAGTCAATATTATTATTCAATTTTTGTAAATATTCAAAATACATAAATTCATCAATACTCTCGTATTGTTTAAGCTATAACAAATAGCTGGGAGGGCTTGTGAAATTAATTCAATTTATATAACTTTTATTATACTTTCTTGGACCTTCTCCCTTGCCCGTTAATAAATAAATACATTTTTTTTTAGTCAAGACCAAGAACTATTGCCTCAACAGTTGGAACATTCTAAAGCTAAACCAACAACATTGTTTAATAACTTATCAGATGAAACAAGGTAAATAAGTTCATAATTGAAGAATTTATAATATTATTATTCAATTTTTGTTAACATTGAATACTCGTTTGATTTTATAATTAATAATTGGTAGTATATTTATTATTTGAAGTTTACAATTTTTTTATTGTGTAGTACAAATGAAAAAAGAGTCAAAAATTGGACCAAGTCTGAAACACTTTTCCTTATTGAGGCGTATGAGAATAATATTTTGATATTCGAATCAAACTCAAAAAAAAATCGTTTAGGTTGGATTCAAGTTTCAAAAGATCTAAAGAAGTACATTTTTCAGATATTTGTTTAACATTTTGTATATGTATATTGATAAAATAAATAATTTTTATACATTTAGAAAGCAGATTGAATATACTGAAGATCAATGCCAAGGAAAATTCAAGTATTTACTATTGTGCTACAAAAAAAAATTAGACAATAGACATGAGACAGGAAGTGCTGTATATGAGTTTGAATTTAAACGAATTACTTGCCGCTATAGCTAGAACTCTGGGATGGTTACTCATAATAAAATAATTTCAATTACAAATAACAAATGTTTAAATGATGTACACCAAAAAAAATTAAAATTCATAAAAAATTAATAATTTTATTTTGGTACAAATCAAAATAAACCTATAAAATAGTATACAATTTATAAATATTATGATTAATGATTATATTATCACTTTATCACTTTTATATTATAAAAGTAACATGTTCTTCTACTATGAGGTTAACATACCTCGGTAACCTTATTGATAACTGAATGGTTCAATAAGATGGGAGGAGTCACATCGTTCCCCGGCGAAAAAGTTAATTCTACATAGAAAACGTTTCTGAACGCACTCCTGTGATTGGTTGTTTACGATCAGTTACCACACAGTTAACCATGATACCGTGTTGTTGGACATAGCTGAACATTTTTCGTGTACACGGCAAACGTGTATAGTGGAAACCCGCCTTTAGTGTGAACCCGCCTTTAGGAGTATGTGGTCGGGTAGCTGAGTAGCTCAGTGGTAGAGCAATCGCCCGGCAAGCGAGAGACTCGGGTTCGATTCCTGGTCCGGTGGCTAGATTTTTGACGTTATTTCCCCTGGAGAAGTTAACACATGGGGGCATGGGGCCCGGGATGTGATCTCCTCCCGGAATCCCTTGCCAATCCGCCACTGCATGGACGTAATTTATACACATTCCGATTTTCACAACAATAATTTGTGAATGCAGTTCGATAAAAAACTAAGACTTTATAAACTAAACGATAATATTGTTTGTTATAATAATAATGTATTACCTGGTATTATTATTGTTTAATTATCAAAATACAACTGTTCAGACACCGATACTGTTGGCGCGGATCAGCTTACCCCGCTACAGTGTCAACTCCGGGTGTTGCCAGTCTGGCCACCCAGTGTCATTCCCCCCAAGCGGTCATGCTGCAAACGCGACCGACCGCGGACGCAACCGACGAGTCGCCGGTGGTTTTACCATAGAACAATATAGAAGCGACACTCGATCAGCTGATGGGTGAAGTGTTTACCTATGATCTGAAGTCCGAACATTCAAACTGTTTCCGTTTACCAACATGATGTTATACCCGTATTGAAAAACCGTTTCCGCTTAATAGGCAGGGTATTCTGCGCGGGGTCGGGTTGTTTCCAGCATAGAAAAATTGTTTCCACTGTTTACTGTAACGTATGCCACGCCCCTCTAGAGACCATTTTCAAGGCCACAATCACCCGATCCGACCAATTCACGGAGTGTCGTACCCCTGGTTTTACCGGTGTGCGGGCTCTGTCGGTACTCGGTAGTCGGTAATCGGTACTCTCTCGTTTTTCGCACCTGCTTGTTTTTTGTACGCGTTATACACGACGCACCTCGCGTTTATGTGTATAATTTTGTTTCTCGCGTCTTGTGCTGTCGTGCTCCATCCTGTCAGACCCTCATGTCGGCCGGATCAGTAACGAGTTAAACCTACGTGATCTTGTGGTTGATGAAGTTGTGACACTCGCCGAAATAAACGGTATTCCGAGTCCATACCACGTGCTTTGGTCGGGATCGTCCAGCCGGCCTTAAAATAGTGAGTACCACCATACCACGTGGAAGAACGGCCGCCTCCAGACCAACTACCAAAGATATCCTCGAACAATAATTCGTCATCGGCTGTCTAAGGTGCCTTAACCCCTGCGTCGTAGCAGCATCCGGTTTCATTTGGTATCGTTCATCATTATACTATAGGTACTATTTTATGTCATTATTATTATTTTACATTGTACATGGCCCTGGTGATACCCCATGTATTATTATTGTAATTATTTATTTGTATAGTGGAGTGTCCCAGTGGCATATTTAGTATTATATTATTTTGTAGTATTGTGGAGACGTCCACCATAATATAATATTACCTATCTATTTATATCTATATATTGCCATCATATTATAATATAACATGTAAAGAAGGTAAGACATATACTTATTATTTGGTCACCCTTTGCCTATCACCTATGCGAGTCACGGCAAACAACTGCTCAAATCGTAAGATTTGCCGTGGCGCAACAATAACATAATAATAGGTATTATAAATACTTCACTACGGTTTGCTAATAAACAAAGTCCATATAATATTTTGTTGAACGTTGAACATTTTTGCTGCAGAAAAATGGATTTTCCTAAAGAATTGTTGGCAGGGATTTCACTTGCTTGTGTTGGTATAGCCGGAATGGCGTATTTATTTTCCAGACGAAACGATCCAACTTCAGATAATTGTGCAGAACAGAAATATATGAAAGAAGATTTGGAGGTAAACAAAATATAGTACATAGGTGTTATGTGGGTATATATTATAATGCAATAGCTCGGCGTATCTTGCTTAGCATAGCAAGGTTAGAGAGAAGCTAGTAGAACGGATATATGACTATATGAGGGTGATTAAATCCAGTGGCGAGGCGTAAGTTTTAGGTTGGGGAGACATTGAACATGGCCATGACGCTGTACTATTTAACCGATTTCCAAATTGTACATTTACATGAGCTATTTATGTATATTTAATTGAAAAATTGCAGAAAAATGGAAACCAAACAATTCTTTTCAAGAATTGCCTTAGTCGGAATAGCCGGATTGGCATTCTTTTTCTTCGATCGCCTGAAAAAAATGAAACAAATTGCAGATGAAAAAAAATACTTGAAGGATTTAGAGGTAAACAAAATATAGTACATAGGTGTTATGTGGGTATATATTATAATGCAATAGCTCGGCGTATCTTGCTTAGCGTAGCCAGGTTAGAGAGAAGCTAGTAGAACGGATATATGACTATATGAGGGTGATTAAATCCAGTGGCGAGGCGTAAGTTTTAGGTTGGGGAGACATTGAACAAAAAATGGCTGTAATAAGTTGGCGTCGATAATTGGGGACTGAGGTAATACGAAGAGCGTCTCATAGCGCATATAGACTACAGTAAACCCCACACACATTAAAATTCCCCTTGTACCCTCAAGCCCATAATTTGGGGACGTCTCTTTGACATAATACCATATTTTTAATGACCCAAATCGACAGCTCGTACGCTCGATCGACCGCTTTTAATCTATTTCAAGAACTCAATACCTGTACAACAAAAACCAATTTGAACAAAATATATTAAAACATACGTCATACATCATGTTTATATAGTACAAATGACGTTAGATTTTGTAAATATATTATGATAAAACTAAATTGTTTGTCCCGTGATCTAATTTATAAGTGGGGAGACGTTGCCTCATTGTCTCCTAGAATATGACGCTTCCCCACTGATTAAATCTGTACCTATTATAATATGATTCAGTATTAAATAATAAAATATATAATATACTTATTTTTTGTTCAAACAGTACCTACTTACCGTATTTTATAATTTTATGAAAGAGTTTCAAAAATACAAGATGGTTCAGTAAGGCAATTAAAATAATTGTAAATAAAAATCGGGGGGACCCAAACACATTTTGTGAATGATAGATTTGGAGGTAAACAAAATATAGTAGGTACATAGGTGTTATGTGGGTATATATTATAATGCAGTAGCTCGGCGTATCTTGCTTATATTTTTTTTTAGTTCTGAATTCATCATCATTCAACCATATCAAGACGACTACATCACACAACTCTACACACACACGTCGTCTAATTAAAAAAAGTGAGTTAATTCAATTGATTTAAATAATTTACTTTTTTCTAACGTTTATTTTTTTCTGTTCACAGTTAACTATGGATGTTTTAAATTCGCTCCAGCGGAAGACGAACGTGTTGAATCTCTCTATCGGAGAGCTGACAAAGGATATCGAATACCGTGTACAATCCATGAATAATGTGGAGACGAAATTTGGAACGGCTGTGGCATGCGTCTTACAAGATCCGGCCGGCGGTGGGATAATCAACATATTTCTCCCCAAGTCGGTGCAATTGCCGAGTGAGGAACTACAACGGTACAATCAACATGAGGCTCACCCGGTAAACCTCATTTTTCGAGGGATGAGTAAAAGAAACTTTATCATTACATTCGTACCCGCTCAACCTCGTTTTTCGGGCGATGTCTAACGTAACGTAAAAAAAAAAAATATTTTTATGTCTTGTTTTCAATAAAAAAATTTAAAAATATGTTTTTATTTTCATTTTATCTAGATCCTATAGTTTTAAGGGACGTATAATATAATTATATACATTTAACAAGTTATATAATTATTTTGTCCGAGTAATGAGTTGGTTTTAAAAAATATATTATTTAATAATTATTATAAGGTTTATCCTCGCAAATACGAGATGGTGAAATATTTTATGTTTATAAGGTTTTATTATTTAATAGTCGTCATTTGTATACGAATTTAGGAGACGTATAATTTAATTAGGGATAACACCAGTGCTACGACTATATTATACTACTATGAACTTGTATTACTCCGAAAAAAAATTTTTATTGTCAACCATAATACTGCTCCGATATCAATTACTTCGAACATATATTACTACGATATTATATTATATTACTCCGACATATTTAAATTTTACCGATAGACTATAGAGATAACCGCATGTCTACATGATAATTGATAAGTAAAAACCATGATATATAATATTAATAATATAAATTATAAGTTATGTACTTATGTATTTATGTACTTATGTACTTACTTATTTATCTATGCTTATGTAACCTAACCCTAAGTCCCTAACAATGTGTCAATGTATAGATTTTATTAAAGTACATATAATCCACGCTCCACGGTGTAAAGTAGATCTTCTCAGAGTTCAGAACTTCAGAATCTGTAAAATATGAAAAACAGAAGCACACTACACGGTGTCACAGCCATAGAAAAAGAAACTAAGGTTTGGAGAAACTAAACTACGGTCACAGCTATAGTATGATATTAAAATTTATATTTGACATCTAATATTATCTTAATTTAGACCATGGATAAATTAGAAATTTTATATTTTAATATATTAAATATTTGTTTTGACTATTAGGCAATCTCAGTGTCATTTTTTTTCTTCAATGTGACAAGGTAATAATTATAATATTTTCTTAGGATACACTCTTTGTAATCATTTAAAGCTCTTCCATCTTGTATTAGAAAAAATAATTTGAAACAAACAATTGCCGCTGGACCCACAAAACTTTTAATATCTATCAGATATTCTTTGATCCCAATCACATCTTATAATTTGAAATTCATTAAGCTATTTGTTATTAATATAATTTGTTGACTCCAGTTTCTTTAAAAAAAGTTTTAGTAAATTTGTTTTGTGTAATTTAATTATTCTTTTCACATTAATATAAGTCCACTCTGTCTGTGGTTGAAGAGTTATAAACAATTTTATATCCATTTATATGGAACCCATAACACATATTAATTGTGATTCGAATAAAAGCTGTCTACACCTAAATTGGTAAACTGGCATTTTATTTTTTGAAGATATTTTAGATATTACCTCAAAAACAGGATGTACCATGTTTTGAATTCAATTATATCAATGACACATTATAGATGACATTTTCAAGAGATATTGGTTTTGAAATACTAACTTGTTTTTTTATTTTTGTATATAAATTACCATTTTTGCCATATTTTGACAAATAAAGAGCTTATAAATATAATAGATGATTTATATCTAAATTTAAATTGGTATAAGTAGATACTATATGCATAGGCGCAAATTGGTAGCCCCTCACCAAAACCTAGGACATACAATTTTAATATGCTATTTTGCAATGGCCTGCATGCCTTTAATAATTTCAGCCCCCCCCCCCAAGTCAAAAGTTGAAATTGTGCCTGATTATATGAGTAAGCTTGTTAACAATTTTCAACATCAAAACAAGAAATTTAAATATTTTGTCTTACAGTCGTTTGAGCCAATCTCTATGATAGGTAGATAAATTAATATTATGTGGTGATCTTATCTTTTAGAATATGTTTTTTGTAACAATTAAAACATATTATCTGCTATTGATGGAGGTTTGGTAGAAGAATATCTCCTGAATAATAATTAATAAGAAAATATAAAAATGATATAAGCAAAAAAATATTTAAGTAAATAAACAAAACAAATAGATATAAAAAAAAGTATTGTAAAATTTTTTTTTTTATTTTTAAGAGATAATATACAATCTATACAATATAGCATAATAAGTATACATGAAAAGACTGGATTAAGAAATCACCCTATGGTAACCCTATAAAATTGAAGCTAGGAAGTTGGGAGTAAGAAGGCAGGAAATTTGTTAAGCAGTGGGTAACGCACACATTTTTTTTTTTTTTTTTTTTTTTATATTTTTAATTTAAGAGGTCTCTGCACCATCTTCTTTTTAGCCTCCTACGAGGGTTTTCCGGGAGCGTTAAGGAATTTAGGCTTTGAATCAGAGGATTTTCGTGGTTGTTTAGGCGTGAGAAGAATCGTTTGTAAAAGATTGCAGATTCTTCTTCTATAGATTTCATACGTAGGTCATTATGAAGGGTAAGATTAGAAATGTAAGGTTGGGCGTTTGTGATTTTTCTTAGAGTTATATTTTGATATGTTTGTAATATATAAAAAAAATATATATATATATTAATGAGTAACAAAAAAATTATAAATATTTTTTCAATTTAAAAATATTCTTATGGTACCATCGACCATATCACCACAGACATCACATGCGGCAGGAGGTGTTGAGATGCAGCTCGCACAATACCATCCATGGCCACAGTCCAACAGTATGTATTGCGCCTGGTCTGGTACATATTGTACATGGCGCATACATCCAAGGCACTGACTTCCAGTTAGATCGAGTAAGGAAGTATTTTGCATCCATTTACCTTTTAATAAAATTTGTATATTTTAATTATAAAAGAAAAAAATCTTCAATTTACTGTATCATTATTAATATTTACCATCTCCTAGGTTAACATGCATTATATGGATGGGCTGTGTTGTGGGAAATTCTACTTTGCAAACTCCGCATTTGTCTAATCGAATCGCACACTCATCACAGCACCATCCGTGACCGCAAGGCACCAAAATGTTGGCCGAATTTACTTGGCTCCAACTTTCAAGGCAAATAAAACATTTGTCTACAGGGTCACCTTTAGAATAAAAAGTATAAGTGAGTTTTTATTTTTCAATTCTGTTTATGAGGACGTTACAAGCACATTTGTTGTCTCCTCCTTACAAGTGTGTGTCATAGCAATTTGTAAGCTCGGTAGAACACGTATAGCTCTGTTAATTTAAAAATTAGATTAAATTGCCATCTTCTAAAATTTAAAGGTAAGTTTATTATATGGCATCTTGTAGGCTTTTTATTATATTTTAACTTTAAAGGGAGTTATGAGTATTTTAATAAGTAACTTAAAATTTACAATTTTAAAATTAAAAATAAATATTAATATTATAAAAAAATACATTTTTATTACTCGCTTTAAAATTAAAATATAATAAAAAGCCTATGAGATACTCTAAAAAATAATCTTACCTCTACATTTTATGAGGTAAATTCACTCTAATTTTTAAACTAGTATAGCTAAACATGATTTTCTGAGAGTAAAATTAGGTATGTTAAGCACTTCTAAGACGGAGATAACAAATATGTCAGTGTAACGTCCTCTTAAAGGAAAATTATTATAATAATAATAACTTACCTTCAAATGTAAGGATATCTAAATCAACTGCCAGGTGAGCTGGTTGGGTATTTTGTTCTGAAACAAAATGGAAAGTTATTAAGCTAATGTTTCAGTATTATAACATTTAAAATCAATCTACCGTCAACAAAAGCATCATCTATGCCAAGCTCAACTATTTCATAAACCTCTTCCTCTGCTAACGTTTCATCCATATCTGGCTGTTCAACTTCAATACAAATTAAATTGTAGAATAAGTGAATATTTATTCATAAATAATTTATTTTATTTATTATTTTTAAATTTGTTAGTTTAATACGTCGCCCTAGTTCAAAACTGCAATAACTCGAAATATATCAGACCCGAGTTATGTACATCACCTTATAGACCATTTTATAACGATTTTAGGAATATAACGCAATAAAATATAGTACAATTATTGACCACGAGAGAGTTTTCAATATTTTAATTTACATATGTTACATAGGGAAACAATTTAGAAAACACATTATTCCCAACAAACCTATTTTTTGAGTTGTTGCAGTTTTGAACTGGGGCGTCGAATATACGATCTGTAATACAGTTACAATAAGCATATGGGCGTAGAAGAATAAATTACAAAACATTAGTACTTGGGTGGAGAACCGCCCAAGGGTGACACTCCAACATTTTATTTATAGAAATACTCTAAGGCATACTTTCGTTTTCTGGCAGATCAAGGAGCTCATTTCGGTCTTCATTATTTGCTAATCAAACAAACAAAAAAGTCATATTTCGTTAAGACAATATATTTTTTATCATATTTTATTTCTATATGCTTACCTTGAATCTGGATTGGCACCTCAATATTGTCTGTATTCCCTATGATATTTATATTTAAAGTATAGTAACTAGAGTATTTAATGTATTTTCAACTTAAATATATAGTTGTATATTACCGAGAACATGGAGATCTTCAATTGATCCAATGTTACCACCACCTGGTTGTTGGCGCACATTTGGATGCCGGACCATTCCATGGTTTTCTGGAACTGCTGCTGCCCGTTGACGACCACGACCCCTCCTAGGTCTACCAGCTCCACGAATGTGGAATGGCGGCAATACAGGTGGCAGAGGCTGAAGTCCAACCATTGGTAGCTGTCCAGGAATGAAATCTTCGAGAAGGATTTCTATAATTCCATTTCATTGTCATTTAGTTTATACACCCAATTGAATTTATATGGTACCTACCATTAGCTAAAGGGCCTATTTGCATATCTATATACCCTCTCACCGAATAAGATATTCTTCTTAAATATGCCATTGTGTCATAGCGGCCATAGCGTATGTTTCGTAGAGCATCAGCCAAAATACAGTTATTTGTATCTCTGCTAGACACAATAGATCTTCGTACCTTTAAAGTTTGATTTATAAAAATTAAAATTAATTTCAAAAACGTATGCCATATATAGTTAATTGTCTCACTTGCTGGCCATTGATTGTTTGTAACATTTCCCTCCGTACTCTACTTTCAACCAATCGTAATCGATCTGCAAAAAATTATGAAAACCAATCAAAATTCCAGCTATTGTCAACTATATATTTTTATTAAAAATCAATTACCGTAAAAAGACCAGACTGGGGGGATGTATGCCTACAGTGGACTTAAGCATGCTGTGGAAACTTTCTACAAAATTATTGGTACGGATGTTTACACCATAAACGGAAAACCCGGATGGACGTACTGTTGTCAACCAGTATTGTCTGACATAGTCCACTAACTGAACAATACGGTTCAGTATGCCCATATGTGTTGCCAATCTTGTGATTGCCAGAAAACCCCCAAGAATGTGGAAGTCATCTGGAAATTCTGGCATCTGTTGTGGTGGCAAGTGTGGTAAAGACATAATCTATATATATATAAAAAAAAATGTTAATATAAATGTAAGAATTTCTCATATCACTAGATCCACTAATTGTTATTTGTTATTACCATTTTCAGTATTGTGGCAGCATGATGGTTTTCACGGAATAATGTCACCATGCCATGGGTCTGCACAAAACGTAAAATGCTCTGAAAATAGTGCATTTGATAATATAATTTCTTTATTGACTAAAGTAAATCACAAATGCTGAATAAATTAAAAATATCAGTGAACTCGAAAACTTTTTTTTAGTTAATAGTTTTTTTAAAGTACCTAATTTCTTTTAAATATTGTATTTTACATGATATAATATAATATGACGTATACATAAGTTGTACTAAGTATACTCTGTTCAAGTTGAGAAATATAGTTCAATATAATTTATTATGATAATTTGTTATTATAAAGACGTGTAAGTATGTAACCTGATGAGTGATGACCAAATGTAGAAACTAGTAGTTACATTTTTTTAATATAAAAATTATATTATTTTATTGTATTATTATTATTTTCAATATAAATAATTATTAATTTATATTATGTTTTAGGAAAATTTAACTTGAAACTCATAAAAATTGTTATTCATAAATCTGTTTCATATCTAGATTAAAGAGTCCACAAAAATACTATACAATAGTAAAAACATTAATGCACGCAATTTGTTTATTACCTGGCAAAAATTGAACCAGCACCCGATCAATTGGCATTCTGGAATCACTATTCGTATTGCATTGCGCATGGCTGTTTCAAAGTCTGATACAATACTTACATTTTGCCAGTCAAAAATATCTTCTGGTAAATTATTTCGCACATATTGCCACAGTCCTATGTAGACGTTTTCTGTTCTATGATTTAATAATGCATATACCACAGGAACTGACTTAAATTACAAATGTAAATTGAAGAAAATAAAATTTAAATAAACCAAATATGTAAGTAAATTGATTATCTAATGTTAACATCTATATCTCTTACGACATTGTCCAAGACAGCGTGGATTGTGATCAACTGCTCGGCATCAGCAGGAACTCACGGAATGACACCAAATGTGCCATCAATTGCCAAGACTCTTGCTTCACGTAGGTATGGAGCAATGCGTCGTAAAAATGCCAAATTTAAAAAAACCAACCCTCCAAAAATCAATTCTTCATTGACTATGAATTCCAAGTTTCCATGGAAGAATGGTGCATTATCGTCTACAGAATAAAGTAGACGACTTTGCCATGTTGGTGACACAATAATCTCTCCCATGGCCCTGAGATTATCTGGTGTTGGTGGATTCACACTTCGTCGCACATAGCGCATTGCCCGTAGTGCTTGCTCACGAGACACCTCTATAGCTGCATTTGGAAATCTAAAAAATTGTTATTCAGGTATTAGTACATTTTGACATAACTCTAAATGAAGTATTTAAATAATTTTGTGGATTTGTTTACCTCCTCGCTTCTTCTTCTAAAATTGTCCGTGCAGGTGTCCCCTCCGTTAAAGCACGCTGTCTCATTGCATCGTAGAATGCCCCAATCTCAATATCATGCCCTACATGATGATTGTGCGGTTGATACATTACAATGGGACTATTTTCTGGGAATATCAACATTGATGCAGTAGCAGTACATCCCCGTTCGTAACGCGAACATCGAAGCTGTCTATAAGGTTATTTTTTAAGGTATATTAATCATATTAAGGTCTATCAACCAGTGTACTCAATATTAATACATTATATTTTTATAAGTATTCAATACTAACCGTTTATTAGTGGATTGATGATTTTGCACATATGTGTATCCAACATCATCGGCATATACCAAGTGACCTCTGAGCCCTGGTACTCTCCTCGATGGAGCTCCTTCATTGCCAAGAAGAATATCGACCATTCTATGAGGTGACCGAGATCTTGACCTGAATCTTTCACCATGTTCATCTGATGAATATATAAAATGTAATAAAATGTAATATTAATAAAATGTACATACATTTTTATATTAAAAATTATTAAGCAAATACTAGTTTAACATTTGTTTTAAATTTACAAATAATTTAATTTTTTGTCACTAAAACTTTGAATTGTAATTGAGAAAGTTAACATATTTATTTTTATGTATATTATATAAATTTAAATATAGAAATATAATCATCAATGAAAAATTATTTTTATTAGCTCTTAATAATTAAACTAAGCATTGAAGATATTTGAAACTTAATTTTAATACTTTGTTACCACTGATCTAGTCCAAAAATGTTTAAATAATTATTTTGACTTACCTGCCATACTGGTAAATCTTGAAAAAATCAAACAAAATCAAAAAGTAAAAATCAAACCAAAAGACACTTTACTGTTTACTTACAAAGTTACAACTGAGTTGACTCTAATTTCATTAAGACTGTATAACATACGACTGGTGGCTTCTATAGAAAAGTGTTATCCCCTCCTCGGTCCACCCCTATAAATTATCACGTAATAATTTGGAATGACAATGATAAATTCTTAAAAGTAGAAGGGGCTAATGGTTCTATAGGTACCTCAGAATATTTATATAAGCCAAGTTAATTTCTTCGAAAGGCCGAGTATACGGAGAAAGTATACATTTGCTTGGTTTCAAGAATATTCCAAAATGTTAGGAAACTCGAAAATCGGAAAACTATGAAAAATATTTTATTGATTCTGCACTCCCAAAAACCCTAGTCTATGTAGACTGTAGAGAAGTAATATAAATAATAATTCTCGAAATTGCTGCCTGGTACAAAGAAAGACGTTTCAACGTGAAGTAGATAACAACCTAAATTAATCTAAATCCCCAGCATTTACGTATAACAAATTTATTACTTATAAACCACGAACTGGGTATACAATAATTGCCGCTGTGCAATACTTGGGTAGAGTTGAGTAATTCTTAGGATTCAATTTTATCGTAATACTTACTACGTAATTGACCAAGTTACAGTCATATTATTCTGTGCAGAACATTTTGCTTGTCAACTGTAAATCGCGTACACGTATTCAATGTATTTTATGGCTAATTTACCAACTGTACATAGGTACCTACCTAGAAAGACTATTCTGAGAGGAGACGGTCTGCCAGCCTAAATATATTTTATTAAATCCCTATTATAATCAGTGGCGTAGCCAGGATTATGAATGCGAGGGGGTTACTTACATACTTTTTAATAAAGTTTTAAAGTGTACTTTTTCTAGTAGGTTCGTGAAATAACCTGCGTAGACGTATAACACTCAAAATTACAATCTTTAAAAGTTCATAACCTTGGAACTAAGTCTAGTAGACAAATTCTGATTGCATCATTGTGCTTAACTCATTGAAATATACATATATAGGTTATTAGGTTCCCGAAAAAAATTCCCAAAAATCGAGCTAAACTGCATTATTTGTGATGATTTCAGACGTTTATATGAGATATTTTAAAATGTTTGTAACTTTTCAACTTTTATCTGGTAGAAAATATGCTCTGATCATAAGCTTCGATGGCCGATGTATGTTTTTGGAAGTAAATTGGATCTAGTTGGTACTTTTAGGAGGTCGAAATTGAAAATGCTCAGTGCTTTTTAATATAATTGGAGAAAAAAAAAAGAAATGTATTAAAATTGTTCGGTAACCAGCTTGGTTATATCGTCCTCACTTGGGTTGTATTTGATTAATTAAAATGTCTATAAATTTCAATGAAAAAATATTTATTCGGTCAAAAACCTAGTATAAATGTAATTCGTAAGTTTTTATTTCAGCTAAAATATTAACGATACACAGTTATCAAATACGATAACATCAGCCCCTGATTAAAACAACACTATTAAAGTTGAAATAACAACAGCGCATTGCCAATTTCAACTCAAATTGCGGTTAAAATGAATGATTTATTAGCTGGTTAAAATAAACAAATCATAATTGCTAAGATAATTACATTCCATGTTATTTTCAATGTATAAAGGTTAAATCAACAATAGTATTTCTATGTGTATGTGAACAAATATTTACTGCTTTGGAAATTTGAAATATACTTTGAGGGTTGTCTCGGTTTGGCCGGAACTGTACTAGTTTCAAACATAGCGTCCCGGTGCCTCGGTTAAGTGTTTCGGGTCGGCCAATTATTCCGGAAATAATAAATTCAATAGTTTATGTAAGTACACGTTTAAAAACAATTTAAATGTTTAATTAATTAATTTATACTTTGTATGCCAACTGCCGAGATGTGGCGCAGCTGATTGTTGTTGAGGTG